CTATAATGAAAAAAATAATTATATAAAAAATATTTTAAATATTTGTATTTTTTTGTTTTGAGTTTATTTATATTTTTAATAATATATATATATATATATATTATTGTATTATAAAAATAGATAAACTGACATATTAGACTTTTATAAGTCTAAACTTCACATTTTTATATAAATAATTTTTTTTAAAAATTTAAATTTGATCTTTTTATTAAATAAGTAAGACTTTAAGAAGGACAAGTTATAGGTCTTTATTTAATATCTCGCGTGTTCTCATTCCTACTTACTCACATGCATGTCCAAATAACATGAGTGTTTTACTTGTTTTTTCCAATAAAAAATTCCATCCAAACACAGAAGGAATCAAATCAACGACTAAAAAGGGTAATCAACGTTTAATTTGGCACTCCAATATGGGATTCAATGAATTTGCAATTCTGTCTTAAAAAGTTGGCAAATTTATTGGCCTTTTAATCTCAACCCTCAGTTTTTTACTAGGGCTGGGGAAAAAACATGCAGTAAAGGATCTAGTTCCAACTTTTATGTGTTCCGGGATAGTTTTACAACAATGGCACATTTGTGTCGCCTGCCTATAGAAATAGTTGAAGAACATTATTTTGAACCTGAAAAAGTACCATGTTTTGGTAAATGGAGAAACCATATTTATTAAAAGTGAGGCAAATTTAGTCAATGTTTATAGGTTGCATGCTGGATGTGTGATTTATATACAAATTTAAATTGATGGACAGACGCAATAGATAGATAGAAGACTCTTAATTGTAATCTGAGAGGAGTAATGGAGCGTTAAGTGCATGGACTTCGTGGTTACATTATATCCCTGTATTATTTGTTGGCTAGGAGAAATCAACAAATGGTTAATCACACTGATCATAAACTCGCGGTTCTTGGAATTTCTTTCAAAACCTTACAAACATTGGCTGAAATTAGTTAGTTGTAGTATGAGAGTTGTTTCTCGCAATATCATTTCAGTTTTTCTTACTGTTTAAACTACATAATTATATATTTCAGCTAAAGGACATAATAATTAGTTAGTCATCTAGAGCCATGTGATTCTACGGTTGTTTTTACCTTTTAAGGTTATTTAATGTAATTATTTCACAAAAATGAAAATATAGGAAAACTCCGTTTAATGAATTTTGATTTGAACATTGTTTGGTAGCACGGAACTTGTGTGGAGAGAGAAGAGAGGTGTAAAACATCGTTGTTGTGTTTGGAAGTGTAAAAATAATGCGGAAAAATACAGGATTTTTGTGGGACTCACGTCAAAAAAACTTTTGCATTGAAAATGCTAGATTTGTGCAGAAGTTATTGTGCAAAGAGTATTATAAAATGATAATAGACATAAAATAATAATAAACATAGTTTTAAAACTCAAACCGTGACCAACACAATTAATATTACACTAGTGAGCCGTTGATTGAATTGTATAAATTAATATATAATTTCAAATTAAAGATATGCTATAAAAATTATTTAAATAAATTATATAATTAAGCATGTTAATGGTCATTAAGCTTTCGATACCCCACTCATTTGAGTGAGTTTCATCTTACTCTAAAATTCTTAATTTTTAAAGAAGTAATACATGGGAAAACAACATTGCATATGCGAGTAAGATATTTTGGGCACGAATAAGGCAAATTTTGAGAGGCACATGATATTTTGGACATTGATGAGAGTAGAAAGTGACGGATGGTACATAAGACATGAACCACAAATTAAAAGGGGGGACTCTTAGTAGACATTTAATGGGAAAGGCACATGGATGAGACTTTATAGTTGATGATTATTTAACGAAATTGATTAGTCCTATTTAATACATGTGGTAACACTACGCATTTAGTTTTTTTATATGAATTATTTTTATAATGAATTTAAAAATTAATTTATTATTTTAAATTTTATTTTACATGTGGATTAAGATTGCTAAAATAGTCTTTTTATAATAAATTAAAAATATTGGAGATTGTTTCATCAATCCAAATCAACCTCTCATATCCTTAATGTAGATTAATAAACATTCGACAAATACTAACCCTTTGTGGTTAGGATAGAAAGTAGTGTCACTAACAATGTTTGAAGACTGAATCTAGTTGTTTGGATTTGAAATTCATTTGATTTTGCTAGTAGATAGTGTTGGGCATTACTATGTTGTGTTTGTGTTTTGTCAAAACTTAGAGAAGATTGAGCCAAAAATTGTGTGTTCTCTTGTTGGAGAATTCTCATATAAATACAAAGTAATTACAATCTGTCAAGCTGATTTTCAGCCCACTAAATAAGCTAAACTGCCATATATACATTTACTACAACTAGTTATCCTAATTAAGAGAATAATCGTTACAAATAAATGTATAATTGCATATCTTTTGCCATTCATTCTGTTGACATCTCCCCTCATATTGATGCTGGTGAATCTACAAGCATCAATTTGCCAAGTAGAAAATTGTGACGTTATAATGGCAACATTTTAGTGAAAATGTCAGCGATTTGAATAGATGTTGAAACATGTGGTAGATTGATGACTACGATCATACGCATCTTGGATAGAGTGACAATCGACCTCGATGTGTTTCGTCCGTTCATGGTAAACCGGATTTGCTGCAATTTGTATGGCACTGGTGTTATCAGCATGCAATGGAGTGGGTTGTGCTTGAGACAATCCAAGCTTTGTAAGAAGACCACGTAGCCATATTATTTCTGAACAAGCAATAGACATTGCGCGATATTCTGCTTTAGTGGATGACTTTGATACTGAATCTTGTTTCTTACATTTCCATGAAATAGGAGCATTCCCAAGGAACATACACCAGCTAGTAGTTGATCTCCTAGTGTTTGGACAGCCAGCCCAATCAGCATCACTATATGCTGGGAGTTGAAGAGATGAATTTTTAGGAAAGAATAAACCACGCCTTGAGGTGCCAAGGAGATATTTAATGATATGCTGCATTGCTGAAAAATGGAAGTGTCATGGAGATTGCATGAACTTACTAACGATGTGTACAACAAAAGAAATATCCGGGCGAGTGATAGTCACATAGATGAGACTACCAACTAGTTTTCGATATTGAGTGGGATCGTCAAGAAGCTCTCCTTCATGTCGTCTATATTTAACATTAACTTCCATTGGAGTGTCAACAAGGGTAGCATTTGTGGGTCCAACTAGTTGGACTAAATCTTGAATATATTTGTGCTGATTTACGAAAATGCCTTCAAGATGGTAATGCACCTCTAAACCTAAGAAATAATTGAGATGACCTAACTCTTTCATGTGAAAAGTTGAATGCAGCATTTGTTTGATTCTAGAAATAGCATCTGGATCAGAACCAGTGACCACAATGTCATCCACATAAACAAAAAGGACGACGATGCCTTTAGGAGTCCTTTGTAGGAAAAGTGATGGATCATACTGACTTTGAGTGAATGAAAAACCAAGTAGAGTGGAGCGAAATTTCTCAAACCATGCTCTAGCGGTCTGCTTTAATCCATATAGAGAGCGTTTCAATTTGCAAACATTAGGTGGGGAGAGAGTCGACATATCACCAGGAAGTGTGATGTAAACGTCCACCTTAAGGTCACCGTGGAGGAAAGCATTTTTGACATCCATTTGATGTAGTGGCCAAGATTTGGATGCAACAAGAACAAGGATAGTACGTACAGTGGTCATCTTGGCAACTAGAGCAAAATTCTCGTCATAGTCTAGGCCATACTCTTGCTTATTTCCAAGCACAACTAGTCGCGCCTTGTAACGGTCGATGGATCCATCCGAACGCAGCTTGATAGAGAACACAAACTTGCTGCCTAAATGTTTAACAGATGGGGGACATGACACTATATCCCATGTCTGATTTTCTTCCAAGGCAAGAAGTTCACTTGTAATAGCTTTTTACCAACATTCATTCTCCATTGCATGTTTATAAGAAGAAGGAATAGGAATAGATGATAA